GCAATTGGAAATTTCTCCATTCTGTGGTGGAGATTAGATGAATAGTAGATGAGCGAGAGAGAGAGAACACTAAGTAGTTACATACTATCTCTATAACTATCTGCATATGTCCTGCAATACAGTATACTGAGTAAGTATTACCTATACCAAGTAAGTCAGGGATAGAATCATTGAACAAAGTTTTTCAAATTTAATGACAGACTACTATTTTTTCACAATCAGGTTTTTGACATATGCTGTGACCAGACTTTCTGTTTCCATGCACTAAAAAAGACAAGTGAATATTTAATCATTCTCCCCAAATAAGGAAATCCAAAATTTGACCAGTCAGTCTTGCTCAGATGCAGCTAAGACAAAATACCAACTGCCAGGTATACATACTGGCTGTGTAAGATGGCATCCACTGCTATACAGTTTGGACTGCCTCTGAGTTGCGATAATTAAAATCTTGGTTTCTGCATAGCTTTAGAATATGGATTAGGAGTTCAACTATGATCAAATGCTTATGAATACTGTTTGATCTTTTTCAAGAAATTGAACAGTTCACAAAAATATTATGATAATTCAAACATTGTATTAAAGATACTTAAAAATTAAGTTATGTCATGAGAAATACACTTGCCTGAAAGAACAAATAAAATCCTCAATTTAAAAGTACTAGGAAAATAATTGCATAAATGTGTGTTTAAATAAAACTAGAAGATATGCAAATGAAGGTCTACGCAGATGATTTTCATACAAATTCATGTAAACCTCCGTAATGGCAAACCTACTTAGAATGATGTTTCCATCCCTCCTTGGTGGTGCAGTGGGTTAAAGCACAGCACTAAGAAGCTAAAGCCAATCAGCATGAGCTCGATCCCCAACCCGCAGGTGACCACATGGCATGGCAGACCTCTTCTGACCTTCCTGCTCTCCACTCAGCAGTGTACTTCATCAGTTGGCCTGTTCTGCTCCCCACTCTGTCTCTGGTGAAGCCTTTCACTGCCCCACCTCTGACCTGTACCCCAGTTCTGTATGTACAAATAAGTAATAATTTTTTTAATGATGTTTCCTCTTGGTTAAAGGGGTCTAGAATGGGTGCTGGTATGAAGTGAGAACATTTTAACTTCTTGTTCCTGTGAGAGAGAGAGTAGAGCACATACATGTATATCTTTCTACCTGACATTAAAAAAAAAAAAGCAAAAACTGAGATTTGATTAAACTACAGTTTTTGTAAGAAACTACATTAACTGATACAGGAATATTAGGAATTGGAAACCCCATTCTTTCCACATTCAACAACTGCTTTCAGGAATGTTATCCTTGTCAGCTACATAATAGAAATGTATTGTGCAATATGTCCAACTCAACAATAGCATACCTTACAATGACAATAAATGTTTTCATAGTAGGCTGGCACTTATATTTCCCTACTTTTTTATTCCCTAGTGCCTTCTTCAATGCCTCTTTTACATTCTTATTCCTGAGCCTATAGATCATGGGGTTAGACATAGGAATCACTGGGGTATAAAACACAGCCACCATTTTGCCCTGCTCCATGGACGTCTCCATGGGGCATTTCAAATTCATGCAGAAGAGGGTGCCACTGAAGACTGTTAGGTGGGAGCCACATGTGGAAAAGCTTTTTTCTCCCTTCTGCAGAAAGGCTTTTCAGGATAGCAACGAGGAGGAACATGTAGGATGTGAGGATGATCAGAAGAGATTGGATGTTGCGTAGTTGGCTACTATGTACTTTGACAGCATTTTGCTGTAGGTGTCAGAGCAGGCCAGCTTGATAAGGGGAGGATCTGCACAGTAGAAGTGGTTGATTTCATTAGCACCACAGAAAGAGAGGTTGCAGGTTCTCAAGGTTTCTATCATGCTGAGAAGGAAGCCATGGACATAAGGGATGAGGACCAGGCAGACATAGGCACTCGTGAACATCTTGCTACTGTAGAACAGAGGGTTGCAGATGGACACAGAAATGTTAGCTAGAGTTTTCTTTGAGGCACAGATAACAAGGACAGATCTTCTAACCAAGCCAGATGGCAGGATGAGAAGAAAGCCAACAGCTAAGGTATCAGTGATGTGACTGTTAAAAATAGGAAGACATCAGACAAGAGTTTGGAGCAGTGTCACATTTTTATGATTCATTTAGAAGCCAAGAGCTCTTCTTTAACTCACAGCCCATAAACAACTTCTCCAGGCCTAGATCTAGGTATTAGCACTGAGTTAATCTCTAGGGAGCTTGCCAACTTTGCTCAGGTCTCAATGGTCAAAAGGACATGCCATTTTAATGAAAACTGTATATTATGGATCATAATTCTAGAGTTACCAGACCATGGCAAAGAGAGATAATGTATATAGCAATAGAGACCAAGGCACATCTGTCAGGCTGCTGCTGAGAGTCAGGAAACAGCAAACATTCAGATACAGTAGATGACTGATGAGGCCAATGGGTACAAGTGCCACCTGGCAAAACAGAGATAGGAATCTCCTTCATCAGGTATTTCCATAAGGTCTTTGGCCCAATTTAATAGATTGAGTATTATCAGATACTCCTAGTTGAAGTTTCTGGTTAAAAATAAAAGAAAAAAAAGTACAATATTCTGAAAAGAAAAAAGTTTTCCTGGAGTGCAAGTATAACTTGTAAAAAATGAGGTCCTGAGGGCAACAGAGAATTGGAAAATATTTCAGAATCTTATAAGTAAAAACATCAGAAAAGCTTAGAGATATTCTAGTCCAAACCCTGTAGATCCATCTACACATGAATCTGGCCAGCTATCCCACATGTCTAATGGTCACAAGGAAACGCTTGTTTGGAAATACACTTTACTTCTTGGAAGTCAGAAATATTTAAAGCATTAATAAGCTGCACAGTTCTAAATTAGTTCTGGTGTGTCTTGTGACAATTACCACGCCAAGCAGTAGGCACATGGAAAACACTAAGAGAATATCACTTCTAAGTATTTATAGTAAAGCGTCTGCTGGTGTGCTATACTATGGAATTCTACCAAGATGATTCAGAAACATGGATGTATCATTAAAAAGACAGAACTGAGAAAGTCCCCTTTAGATTTTCATAGGAAATGCATTATGTATGCAAATTTCACCTAAAACTACCACACTAAAACCACAACACTATTTAAAAAGTATTCAGTTTAATGAAAAGAAGACACAACTAGATATCAAAAACTCAAACACAAGCACATTTCCTTTCACTAGTGAAAATGTCTTAGTAATGACCCTAAGGTCAAATCCTAGCCATTGTAGTAGGATTTATACCCAATTTGTAGACATCAACATCTACCTCTGGAGAATCCCCAAGTGTTTCAGGTAGAAGCAATTAAAGTGGAATCTCGGTGGAAAATTCCTCACAGGGAGAAATGCTAATTGGCTGCAATATGCTTTGTCACATCAAGTTTTTGTTTGATTCTTATTGTATAGCACACTACAGTTCAAGTCACTAGTGTGCTGTGAGTCAAAGACAATACTTTGAACAATCACCTTTACTTTCAACATGGATTTATCAACACTTGAAATGTTTTATTAACTCTTTATGTATCTGGCTACCTAATTCCATAATACACACACCTTTAAAATGTAGTAAGTTTTCTTTCTCATTTGTAGCTAACTTTTCCATTCCATTTCTAATGCATTCAATATTCAAATGAAACTTTTGAATCAATGGAAGAAATCACTGTCTCCAGATAATAAATGGACCCTGAGGGCTGCCAGTGCAGTCCAACAGGACAGAGCACTTCCAAGGAGAAAATGTGGAAACTGTAGGTCTACCTACAGTATAATCCCTACCATGGATTAAAGCCCCTGCATAGTAAATGCTACAGAAGCCTCTGATACTAAAATTAGCTCCTTACAGTCAACATGAGTGAAAGACCAAAATTTCCTGCGATGCAGAAAACAATTTTGAGTTAGGGAAACTGCCCTGTTGGAGGTTGGAGGTGAAGATGGGGGTTGGGAAACTGCAGTAGGTGAGCAGAATCAGCAACCTTCTCTAAGCCACCTTATTGCAAGACCCGGCAGTGTCTCCAGTGTTCTCCTTAGGCTAAGGATCGGCCACGCCACTCTGAGCCAGCCCCAGAGACTGAAAATGCTTGCATCTCAACGTGAAGCAAAGTACAGGAAGACACTCTGCTCTGGTTCAGGAACCTCCGTCAGTAACCACTGGTGAGGTCCTAAATAGACTTTTAAATGTATCCCTGATTCAGGATCAAAAAATTGCTTGGAGAAAATATCAATTTTGGTAGAGGCACCCCCATACATGGGGAGGGAATTTAAATGAACAGCTAAGCACTCAGAGGAAACGGAGTAAGTCACTAGAGCTCTGCTTGTCAATCACAGGAAGACGAAAGACTATTCTACCCTCAAACATGAATCTCTACAGCTGGACCCTAAATAACAACAACTGTTTGTTCATCATATCATCTTGAACGATTATCAATGGTTGCTTTTTAGGTGTCTATTTGAGATAAGGCATATAGCAAATTAGCATATATACAAAAATCCCATGAGACAAATTCCACATATTTAAAATAATCTCAGAATTCATTGGGCTGTTCAACATTCAGATATTGTAAATATCCATTTAAATATGTTAGATTTTCACAGTTTTTATTTGGGTAATGCAAGACATAAGTACAGGTGACCATTTTGTTGTACACCTAAACTTACAATCTTTCAGGTGTTCCAATAACAGCTCAATAAAGTTAGAAAAATACTTTTAACAAATTGTTAAGATTAGAAACACAAGATATTGTGTTCTCTGACAATAAGACTACATTACAAATATATGACAATGAAATATCGAAGCATACCCCCAAGGCAACGCCATTGCGGCTGGTCCATGACCACCAGTGGAGAACGAGAGCCTACACTGACAGGGAGAGCTCATTTTTATCTACTCTGTGTGCCTTAGCTAAAATATTTGAGACAAATCCAGAGATCAATACTCATCACCTGATGCAAGGATCTTTGAAACAAACTTTCAGAGTTATGGTTTATGGCACTGCCATCTTAGTGACCAGTTTTCGCCTGAGAACACTCTTCAATGCCTGCTTTACATCCTTATTCCGCAGACTGTAGATCAACGGATTAAGCACTGGGCTAACAAAGGTGTAGAACACAGCTATTATTTTGGATTCTTCCACAGTCTTATCTGTTGGTGGTCTCACATACATACAGAACAGTGTCCCATAAAAGAGGGTAACAGCCACCATGTGGGAACCACAGGTGGAGAAAGCCTTGCGCCTTCCCTCTGCGGACTTGATGCGGAGGATGGCAGTGAGAATGAAGGCATAGGACACCAGGATGATGGTGAGGGAGTTGGACAAGTTGAAGCCTGCTGATATGAGCATGGCATGCTCTTTGACATAAGTATCAGAGCAAGAAAGCTTGATAAGGGGCGGGTCAGCACAGTAGAAGTGGTTGATGACATTGGACCTGCAGAAGGTCAAGCGGAAGGTCAGGATGGTCTGGAACAGCCCATCTGAGAAGCCATAGACAAAGGGAAATGTGGCCAAGCAGATGCAGACAGTTCTAGACATCTTCACACTGTAGCGCAGAGGGTTGCATATGGCCACGTAGCGGTCATAGGCCATTGCTGCCAGCATGTAAAACTCAGTGAGGAGAAGAGCAATGAAGATGTAACACTGTATAAAGCAGCCAACAAAGGTGATGCTCTTCTTCTCTGATAAGAAGTTAACCAGCATCTGTGGTGTTGCATTGGTAGTGTAGCACACATCTACAAAGGCCAAGTTTGTGAGGAAGAAGTACATAGGTGTGTGAAGACGAGAGTCCAGTCTGATCAACAGAATCATGCCCAGGTTGCCTAAGAGGGTGATGAGGTAGACTGTCAGAAACAGCACAAAGAGGACCGGCTGGAGCTCGGGGCGACTGGTGAGCCCCAGGAGAATGAATTCTGTTATGAGACTGCCATTTGTGACGGACATCTTCTGAGAGTCAGTGTTTGCACTGAGAAACACAAATTAAGCAGACGTGCAGATGCAAATCAGACTGCTGACCAGGAAATAACTTTTCTTTAAGCCTCTACGGGAGGTGCAGAAGGAACTCTAGAGCGCTGTCCCTGGTGAAGCAATGGGTTAGGATGCAGCACTATGAAACCAGCCACAGCCGCTTCAGCATGAGTCCCATCCCAGGCCAGGCAGCTGACCCACATGGTGCAGCAGACCTCTCCTGTCTCCCCACTGCTCCCCTGAGCAGTGTACTTCATCCATCTGCCTGTTCTGCTCCCCACTCTGTCTCTGGTGTTTCCTCTTACTCCCTGCAGCTCTGGCCTGTTCCCCAGTTCTGTATGCATAAGTAAATAAATCTATTTTAAAAAAAGGAATGTCAGGAGAGCCGACTTTGTACTTTTGCTAAGACTCCTGCCCACTTTCCTGATTACTGAATATCTGTCCATTTCTATCTCTGTAACTGCAGTTGTACCTATGACTCTACCTACCTTTATCACATGATAGAACTGAGTCAAATAACCCTTATATAACTGCACCTTTCATTCTCAAACTCTATTTATCAAATAAAACTTGTTTCAAAAGCCTTTCTCACTCTACTCCTGTTACCCGTGAGATTGCATTAAACCCTTTCTACTTCATCCTTCCAAAGCACTCCCTATACCTCTAATTTATTCCTAAGCAAGCACAGCACCAGAATATATCTACCCATAGGTTTGTTCTTCAGTGTTGTGAATAAATTTCAGTTCATTAAAATGTTGTGACTGAAATGGAGATTTAATACGAAATTAGAGAGAAAAGAAAAATAGTCTAAGCATGTAAGAATGACTGACTTGCAATGTTTTACTCAGCCTTGGATGTGATTCATCTCTACTTCTAGCTTTGCTAACATAGAAGGAAAGATTTCCTAATTTCCTAGTGTGATTTGCTTAGGAGAACAAGTGTGTTCTGAACTTTAGTGTCGCAAGCAATTCTTGGAAAGCTTGTCAATCAAGTAAATTTACAGAAGGTTTGCTGCAGGAACTCTTCTGAGGGATAATTGAATCTTTATATTTAACAATCATCCAGATGATACTAAGGCAGTTATTCCTAAAATTAAAGCTTAAAAGCAGAGGCACAATGGTCCATAAACAGATGGAAATAAATGAAAAAATTGTTAAATCCAATAATATGTACCCAGTATATTGAGAATATATACAGTCTATTAAGAATGGTCTACAAGTTGGATCCCTAAAGGCATTAGCATTATTGTTTCCATGCTTTTCTCTCATTTTATGTCACAGTTAATGCTGAATCATCTCTCCCATTCTCTCAAGATACTACCTTGTTTTTGTCCTTTCTGTCATACTTAATCTTTTTAACTGTTGAATTCCTTTCATTTCAAAAGGAGTCACTAAAACTGACTAGGTTTTAGACAGACAGTAGTAAAGCATTTTTGTGCCTACCTCTCCGCAAGCTACATAGAAACTACATTGTAAATATTAACTAAATACACTAATAAGAGTATTCAGAACATATAAGGAGCCTTAACCGTGGGCCACCTGCTTCCGCAAATGTACACAAGAGCACCATGTCTGTCCTATCTCCCGCTCAAGTCACTGTGAACATCAAGATGGTCAGAAAACAAATATTCAGCAATACTTCATGTATTATGTGGTTACAAACTACAGCAAAATGCACCAACACTTTCAAAACCCCGGCTTTCTGGGTTCACCTTTGGAATTGCACAAGTTTTCATCAGTTCTTGCTTGGTACTCACAGAGCCAAAACTCCACTGCTTCTGCCTCCCGCAGAGCTCATGAACCCAGAATTTGCTAACAGATGTACTAAGAGGAGAGAGGCAAATTGTAAGAATTGCATATATTTACAGAGGGGGAAAAAATACCACAGATATGCTGCTTCCACCATAGCAGAGATTAACAGACAACATCTCTGAGCCAGCACATGGGGGTTTCGAGTCTCCCACCAGATGAGCCTCTGTTGGGTGGAGACAGAAGCAGCAAGGACAACAGAAAGCACCGCAGAGTTTCTAAGACACACTATCAGGATGCAGCACAAGATGCAAATGCAAGTGATCCTTAGTTAAAAAATTAAGACAAGGGCCCTCCCTACTGGGTTAAAGCACAGCACTAGGAAGCTAACACCACTTCAACATGAGTTCAATCCCCACCGCGGCAGACCTCTTCTGACCCGCCCGCTGCTCCCCTCAACAGTGTACTTCGTCGATCTGCCTGTTCTGATCCCCGCTCTGTCTCTGGTAAGTTCTCTCCCCACCCCTACACCTCTGGCCTGTACCTCAGTTCTGTATGCATAAATAAATAAATCTTTTTTAAAAAAATTAAGAATAACAATAACAACAACAAAATAACCACAGAGCGTTAAACCTAGCTTGAGGGACTTTGGAAACATGACACTGGGAGCTGCACAAGTTGTGCGCCCTGGAAACCTGTTCTTCCTGGAGCCCAGAGGCTCCTGGAGGTGACAACTTATGAGCCAGCCAACTTTCAAAGTCAGAAAACCTTATTTTTAAGCAGGAAAGTTTGTATAATCTGTGGGCCTCCGTGTGGAGTCTAAATACAAATTCCTCTTGACTAACATGAAAGTAAACGCACAAAGACTTACTTCCAGTTCTGGTATGAAACTATTTTCTCAGCCTCTGACTAAGGAAGCTTCTCGATGTCATTCTCAACTGTAAAATGTAGGTATTTTTATACCAGCAGGTGGGAGGTAGACACCAGCTCTTCAAGCAAATCTCAGGACTCAAGAGAAGCAGCGAGGGTGTTACCGCAGGAATTTACCCCTCTTGGGTTTAATTAGAGTGATGTGATCTGAGATGAGAAAGCTAATTTTATGCCTTAGTCATGGTTGCCATAATTTCCAATGTACTGCTTCCAGGGAAAACTTGTGTGAGATGTGTGTTGGGGGCAAAGGTGATTCCTGGTTCTAGCCTCTGTAGGGTCTAGGGAGAGAAACCACACCTGGCCTCTTCTGGTCTCGGAATGAACTGCAAATAGCCTCCAGGTGCTTCAACGTCTCTGTCTCATTTACTTTAGCATTGCTTTTCACTGATTATTTTTTTCAGTTAAGTGACCTGCATAGTATCTTGTTCTAGGCCATGTTCCTAACCCAGGCCAGAGCAACACATGATCATTTTTCTGTCATATCGCAATGGTAGTTTTAACAGTAATAATCATTATACTGTCATTATACATTTTGCTAAAATTAGAGGATATTTCGGGACTCACCTGTGTTGCAGGAGCTTAAGTGGACATTACTCATTCACCTTCTGGATACTGAATCACTGAAGGACTAAACAGAAGAAGATGTTTGTAAAAGTAGCATTATTACAGGAGAACCTGGGTTTGAAATGTGACTTAGACACTCTTTCTGTTCTGTTTCTCAGCTGAAGTAACCAAGACACAACAGAGGAGTAGGACAATGTGGGTTCCCATGAGCTGGCCACTCATGGGCAACTGTGACCTATTTGCTATCCATAGAGCACAGCAGAACATTCCTTGACCACCTATGGAGTGTAGCTCATAATCACAAGTCAGGCTCTGGGACACCACGTGACCTGATCACGTGTCTGTCTCCATGGCAGTCTTGGGATAACTCTGCTGGTGATAACATTATACATATGGTCATGATGTCTCTTCTCTGTCCCTTGCAAAACTTTGTCCGCCATTCCTATCCTACCCTCTGCTTCCTATTCCTCATACCATTGTCTCATGATTAGCTTTTATTAGCCTATGTGATTTCAATAAATGGCACAAGGACTTTGCTCAAGCACAGAGTGTTGCCTTGTAAGCCTGCTCCACGACCTCTGTGTCCCGCATTACATTCCCGCCTCAAAGTGGCAAAAAGTTCCTGTTGCAACAGGACAACTCTGTGCCTCTCCTGTCCCTCCAGAGCCTTCACCAGTCAGCATGTCTGACTGAGATAAGAAGCGTGGATCAGTGAGAGAGAGAGGATGTTCTGGGTGGACCACAGCAGCTGTGATGATCTTATTCATAATCTCACCAGCCCCCATGTAGCTCACTGAGGTGAGGGTGTCAGAGACAGGGAGGTGCAGCAATGAGAACCTGAAATGTCCTTCAGAAAATGTTCTCTCCGAAGTCATTTCAAACACCTGCCCTCAATCCTTCTGTCATGGTGGTGCATGGTGTCTCCTACAAACTCAAAGAATGAGGGTATAGTGGCTTTGAGGATGGCAAGAAATGTGCTCTACCATCAGGTGATATAAAGACAAGTGTGAAATGCAACTTTATAGGGTGAAGAAAAGCTACACAACAACAAAATCAGTAAGATTTTTCCAAAAATAATTTTTCATGTGAGAAGCCATCAGAAATAGCAAGGAAGACAATCATCATAGACATGAATTGCTTTTATTTGATAAATATGTGTTTCAAATATACTTCTGTCCAAATAAAAGAGAACACTTCCCTAAGAATTGTCATTGAGACAACAGAAAGGTAATAATGGTAGGTATTTTCTAACATCAATATAGTACATTGTTAGTCACAGGTATGAATTGTTAGAAATACTCTAGAAAAAAAAATTAGCCATAGAAAATTTAGCAAAAGTTTTAAAGATGTTCCAAACACTTTATTCCTCAAATACACTTCTAAGAATGTATCCTAAAGAATAATCAAAAGTACCTAGAAATTCAAGCTAATCTTAAAAATAATAGGCTATAATGACATGTGGGATAATGGTTTGCAAGATAAACAAAGTGGAAAAAAATACACCACTATTGATTATTGAAAGAGTTCTCTTTAGGCAAGTAATTATATGTTTGCTCATATTCTTTACATCTTCATTATTTCCATTTGATTTCCTAAAGCCAACAGGCTTTATATTTAACATTGAGTTCAAATCTGACTTAATTATTAAGTAACTTAAGACATTTAAAGTGCCATGCACCAGAAATAGTCTGTACGACTAATGTTCTACAGCACATACTATCAAGTGAATATCAG